GACAATGTAATTAAGCCTTTATTTGTTTGAATACAACAGATCTGATCTACACAAAACTCAAAGTGAACCAGCTCAACATTTTCCAAGGTTCTACAGAGAACTTTCCTCTCTAGCACCTTTTTAAAATTTTTCCGTATGGACCATCTGATTTCTAGTCAAGAATGGAAGTGCTGAAATACTTTAAACAAAGAATTTATGATATTTTCCCGCACTCTTAAGCGCGAAGTACTTGGCACCTTACAAGAAAGCCTTTTCTTTCTTTCACAGCACAACTTTCAGATCCTAAAAGTTCTGAGTTTTCATTTAGGAGCTTACACGAACTGAACCTCCAAGTCTTCTGAGATTTGTTCTTTGTTAATCTGTAACTTGATCATCTTCTGAAATTATTGGTATTAATTCAGTCCAAGGAAAGATACTAACATGAGGCTGTACTATACAATGGATATGCACAGGTCACTTCCATTAATACTAATAAGAGGCACATATCCTATGTACCTAAAATATACTGTAAACTATTTTGTTTGCTTTACGAGAAAAAAAATACAGGGCCTGCCATAGTCCATGTCCCTGTCAAATGCTTTTGCTGCTCCCCAAATAATGTTCTTTTTTGAAGATTTTTAGTATTTGAGAAAAGGTAATATCTATAACAGATTGAAAACTAGGTCTTGAGAACATCAAGAAGCTGACATTTATAGAGATAAATTTGGTACAACTTAAATTTACTGCAACTGCAGTATAAATAATCTGAATCCTGTCTCAGATGAGCTACTGTGTGACTGTACACACAGAACAGAAAAGTTAAAAGCACTTCACTTTTAATTTCAAATAAGGACCAGTTCCATGGCTTAACACTATAACCTTTGATATGTATGTTCCCAATTAGTAGTTTAAAAATACAGAATAAAACCAAACTAAATTCTTTAAGGTTTGAACCTCCAGAGCAGTTACAGAACATTTAGTTTAGTGGAGGAGTCTGAATGATACAATGAATGATAACATTAAAAGCTTTATTTAAAATAAAATAGTTAAAGCAAACAAGCATTACAGTAACACCATACTGCATTTAAAGTATTTAAGGGGCTTTCAGGGGTGATCAGTCCCAGGGTGGGAGGAATCCCACAAACTCTGGCAACTGCAACATGTGGATTCTACACCCTTAGCTGACTATGTTGTATGTTATCTTTGACTGAAACTCAGCCAAGCACAGAGGACTGACACAAGGCTCTCTGCAATTTGCTGTACGAGGTGGGGTAAAGCAAGAAGAGTGGCCAGTAAGGTTGGGCTTCTGGACCCCTCTGCCTGCCATAGAGAACATCTCCATGCTAGCCTTTCATTGGCCATTATGCAGGAAAATGTTTGAATTTGGCCAGAGATGGTCTGGAGGAGAGAGACATGGGATCCATGCTCATGCATTGCCTAAACCAATTCCATAGCTGCCAGGAAATGGCTGAGGCCATTATTCCAGGCCAGTCCACAGGCTGAAATATTGCCTGCAGAAGTTGTATGGTGAGTTGGAAGGTTGGATTTCATCCCCCCAGTTCCTCACACGAAGTCCTTTTACTTTGGCATTGTGCATAGAGGAAGGTAACGGATTTAACCATTTAGGAATGAGTCAGACCAAACCAATATTGTAGTATGACAGTAGCCAGGATATACTGCAGTTATGGTTAAAGTGACACACTATTCCATCCTATTTTCAAGTGATTATACATTTTAAGTCACTGTCTGAAGTAAGATTTCTTTCTGTGCTCTCATCCCAGAGGTGAATTTTTTTTGGTGCACAGAAAGTTCAAAGCATCTCTCATCCTCTTCTAAGTTAAGAGAGCTTGGAAAAAATTGTGGCAAGTTTTTGTTTTAAAAATGCTGGTCGGTGATTTGTGTGCTTGGATAACTAATATATACTCTACATTTCAAACTCGCCTTGCACACAGCCATGAATGCGGGATGATGCAGGCTGTGCTAAGTTTGAAAAACTAGGCTGAGAAATAATGTTACAAAGTGAATGAGAACAGAGTACCTATGCATATATATCTTCAGCACTCACACTGGCTAGGGTTGTGAAAAGTCCAGTCTCTCTTGCCCCTGCACGTAGGGCGGAGGGAGATATGAGTAGGTTTTTCAGATTTAATTTTTTTCCAAAAATTTTGTTCTCTTTTGGACTTCAGCATTCTTAAAGATGCCTGGATATTTACAAGATAATTAATAAATAATTTTCAGTAAAAACACCAAGTTCAATTTGCTGTGATTCATGGAGATTTAGTATTCATTGTGCAGAGTATTTGGACAAATGCTGGATATGCTTGAAAGTGTTCTTGAATTCCAGAAGTGTTAGATTTTAGCACTACTGCTCATCCGTCTGAATACAGAGTTGTCATTAGTTATTTTCCTGTTTAATAAAACTTTCATTTGTCCCATTTGGGAGCAGAAACAATACAGCATGACCAGACATGCAACACAGAGAACAATTAACAAATATTCAATGTGATTGGTTCAGAAAGAAATAGTAGACTTCAAATGATAGATTCAGTCAATCACAAACATTTATAAATTCTGAGACAAAAACAAAAAACAAACCTCCATTAAAACGGAATTAAGGTTGAGAGTATACACCAGTAATTTAACGGTTAAAAGCATTATAGGGATGCTGTAGATATCCAAGATAAAGCATTACAAACCTTGGAAATTCAGTTACAGCTACTCTTAAAAGCAACCCAAACATGTTAAGGTAAAAAAAAACAACACAGTTAAGGTAGTCAAACAACCTTAACTCTGCCCCATAGTGATGCAATGCAATAACCATATAATTACACTTACGATATTTTAGTGGGATCAGATTAAATTCTTTTTAAAAATCACCCTCCCTCATTTTTTCCCCTCCCTCCTGGCATCCCTACAGAGTAGAGTGAGGATACAGCTGCAAATAGTTGTGAGCATAATTTTTCAGGCACAACATAGGTCATAACCTGATTTAAGTGTTATGTCAAGTAAACAGCTAAATAACCTTGAACCTGCAAAATGTGGGCACAAAAATAGAGGCTGCAATTTAAAAATCTATTCCTTCATACAAAACCAGGCCTGATTTTGATCTCTCTTGCCATATGCAGGTTTTATACAAGTGTAACTTCATTGACCTCAGAGGAGCAGCTCCACACTTGCATCAGTGTAAATGAAATCAGAATCAGGTCCAAAGTCTGATATATGTTGAAATATTTGATTGATTCCATAAGTATTACAGCTCACTGGGTCTCATTCCAAAAAGTAGCTGTCTCACTCTTGGCCACTGGCAGTGACTTTTGAAAACAAGCTTCACTTTTTATGACTGGTTCACAAAGGCAACAAAGCAGCCAACATCAAAGCACAGCTGACCTCCCATGGTCTGTCCCCTGGTTTTATGATCACTGACAGTGGGGAGCCAATGCTGTAAAACCAACATGAGGTAGCAATTTAAGATAGGTGCTCTATTTTAAAGATTCCAGTGCAGGCAAAGAGAAGGATTTTCTTAAGAATGATGATTGTAATAAGTGTACTGGCAGAGATTTGCAAAGTCCACACCAGTAGGACACTCACATGGAATGCCATAAGATTCTTTAATGGAAATATACAGTCTGCTGCAAATTTTACTAGAGATAGTTATGTGCTTGTGTAGAACCACAAAAAGTCCATCAACTCTTCCTACCTAGTGAAAAGGAGCTGCTGACAGGACATTCCCTGTGAGAAATCCTCACTTTGGGAATTCACTTCCTAATATGTTGGTCCACCGGATCCCAGATTTATTAACCTTCTGGGCATGCTGCAGAGTGAAGCTTTAAAGCCATTGAGGAAGGCCAGGGCTGAAGCAGATACACCTCTACCCCGATATAACGCAACCCGATATAACATGAATTCGGATATAACGCGGAAAAGCAGTGCTCCGAAGGGGCGGGGCTGCGCACTCCAGCGGATCAAAGCAAGTTCGATATAACACTGTTTCACCTACAATGCGGTAAGATTTTTTGGCTCCCGAGGACAGCGTTATATCGGGGTAGAGATGTACTTTTAAAGGCAGTCCTTCGTTTATTTACTTTGTGATTTTTGGTTTATTGACAACACTGTATAATGTTAAGAAATATTTTAAACACTTTGAGCCAAAGGAAAGTAAAAGTCATTCCTATCCTGTGGAGCCCATCTGTTGTAAGAGACCCATGAATGAATGAGGTATGGGCTCTTTAGTTACCCTGCCTCATTGATATTACAAAATAAATACAAATTTTAGCAGAAGCAGTTATACTACCAGCTCAGGCACTGTATTTGTTAATACAAGGAAGCCTCCATGACCTTAGTACTTCAAAATCTTTAATGTATTTATCATCACAACACCTCTGTGAGGTGGAGGAATACTGTTCCCCCAATTTTACAGATTGGGAACTGATGCACACAGAGACTAAACAACTTCCCCACAGTCACACAGGAAGTCTGTGATAGAAAAAAAGACTTGAACACAGGTCTCCCAGTACCCAGGCTAGTGTTCTAATCATTGGAAGATTCTTCCTCTCATTACGGTCTAAAAGTAGGAGGGGCAGAATGGGAAGAATATTTTTACATTACTGACACCAGTGCAGCAGAAATCTTGGTAGTCCATCGAGCCAATGATGACAAATCTGTGCAGATCATCAGTTGTTGGTCTTATGGTGTGCCCTCTGATGGCTATACAAGCCAATTCTAGAGGTGCACATTTTGCTGCAGATGGTACATGGGAAGTTCGCGATCAGTGGATTGTGCACTGCTGATGCTCTGTGACGTCGTTCGCGTGCCTCTTGTAGACGCCGGCAGCGGTCTTCCTCAAAGGCGATGCAGGTATTTCTGACTGTTGCACGCCACTGTGTTCTGTCACTGGCGGCTTCCTCAAGGTCCCTAGGTTTGATACTGCTGTACTGCAGATTGGCTTTGATGGTGTCCTTGTAACGTTTCCGTGGACGACCTATATGCCGGATGCCCTGGGAGAGCACACCATACAGAAGCTGGCGGAGGATTCTGTTGGCATCCATGCGGCTGACATGACCGGTCCAACGTAGCTGTGACTTCATGATCATCATTTCGATGCTTGTCATCTGGGCTCTCTCGAGGACCTCGAGATTGGGCACTTTGTCTTGCCAGCGGATCTTCATGATGTTACGGAGGCAGCGCATGTGAAATGCTTCGAACTGCTTGATGTGACGCCTATATAGTGTCCATGTTTCGCACCCGTACAAAAGAGATGAAAGAACAACAGCTCTGTACACAAGCAGTTTTGTTGACATCCGGATGTTATGGTGATTTAAAACTTTGACACGCAGACAGCCAAGTGCCTGGCTTGCATTGGATATTCGTGCATTGATCTCATTATCCAGTGATCCATCACTGGATATGACACTACCCAGATATTTAAAGTTCTCCACTACTTTCAGCTGAGTGCCGTCGATGGAGATACTCGGGACAGAAGCATTTGATCCAGGTGCAGATTGATGGAGAACTTCTGTCTTTCCGAGGCTGATAGTTAGTCCAAAAAGTTGCGAGGCCTCAGCAAACTTGTTGACAATGTGCTGAAGATCATTTTCAGTGTGAGCCATGAGGGCACAGTTGTCAGCAAAGAGTGCCTCAAGAAGGAGTTTCTGCACTGTCTTAGTCTTTGCATTCAGGCGACAGAGGTCAAAAAGTGAACCATCGTGCCGGTATTTCAAGTATATACCTTGGTCCAGATCTTTCACTGCATGGTTAAGGACACATGCAAAGAACAGGTTAAATAGGACAGGAGCGAGAACACATCCTTGTTTCACGCCGTTGGTGATGTTAAAGGGGGCTGATGTGGCTCCATCAGACAATACTTCGCCTGTCATGCTGTCATGAAAAAGGCGTATAATCTGGGCAAATTTTCTTGGGCAGCCAAGTCATGTTAGAATGGTCCAAAGGGCTTCCCTGTTGACGGTATCAAACACCTTTGTCAGATCTATGAAGACAGCACACAGGTGCATGTTCTGTTCAATGCACTTCTCTTGTATTTGTCTGACAGCAAACACCATGTCGACTGTGCTCCGGCCAGGTCGAAAACCACATTGACTTTCAGGTAGATTTGCCTCGGAAATACTGGCTATTAGGCGGCTCAAGATGATGCGGGCGATGATCTTCCCTCCAACAGAGAGGAGGGATATGCCTCTATAGTTTCCACATGCTGCTTTGCTGCCTTTGTTCTTGAAAAGAGAGACAATAGTAGCATCGTGAAGGTCCTGTGGTATGTTTTCATCCTCCCAGATGTTGATGATCACGCTGTGGAATGCTGCTAGTGCTGCTGGACCTGCTGCTTTATAACTCTCTCCTGGTATCCCATCTTTTCCAGGAGCTTTCCCTGAACTCATCTGGCTAACAGCTTTCTTAATCTCATCTATAGTAGGCGGAAAGTCAAGATCTGTCAGAGCAGGTTGTTGTGGAATTTCATTAAGGACAATATTATTCACAGTTGATGGTCTATTGAGAAGGTTGCTAAAGTGTTCTCGCCATCTTTCGTTGATGCCTTCTTTATCTTTAATCAGCATTGTGTTGTCTAATGAGAGCAATGGGGTGGTCCTTGGTTTAAAGGGTCCATAGACAGTCTTAATAGCACTGAAGAACATCTTTAAGTTGTGGGTCTCAGCATAGTGCTCAATTTCTTTGGCTTTGCTCTCCCACCAGTTATCTTGTATCTGACGGAGGTCTTTCTGTGTTTTGCTCTGAAGGTACTTGAAATGGTCCCGCTTAGAGACTGAGGAGGGGTCATTCTGCCATTCGATAAAGGCTTTTCTCTTTACTTCCAGTGCTGAGCATATTTCTTCTTGGTTCTCATCAAACCAATCCTGATGTGTTCTTTTCTTTGGTCCAAGAGATGTTATTGCTGTGTCAGTCACTATCTGCTTGAACTGGTCCCACTTTGCGGTTATAGTACCGATCAGTTGTCCGTGGGATGTCAATTTGTCATCAACACTCTTCTGGAATTTGTTGAAACATTGAGCATCCTTCAGTTTGGCTATATTGAAAGCAGGTCGCACATGCTTAGGGCGTCTGTGGCGAGAAGGAACGATGTAGAGTTGAAGAGACGTCATGACTAATCTGTGATCTGTCCAGCACTCTGCGCCTCGTATTACTCTGGTAATCAGTACGTCTCGGATGTCTCGCCTTCTAACAATGGCATAATCTATCAGATGCCACTGTTTGGACCTAGGGTGCATCCACGTCGTTTTGTATTTGTCCGCTTGTCGGAACAGAGTGTTGGTAATGGTCAGGTCATTTTCAGAACAAAGACTCAAAAGGAGTAGTCCATTACTGTTCCTTTTGCCTACACCATGTGGCCCGATTACTCCTTTCCAGTTCTCGCTGTCAGCCCTGACTTGGGCATTGAAATCTCCAAGTAGGAGTAGTTTATCTGTTACAGGTGTGGCCTTGATCAGTCTGTCGAGATCTTCATAGAATTGTTCCTTTGAGTTGTCAGAGCATGTTAAAGTGGGTGCATATGCACTGATGATGGTGACATGATGTTTGGCATTTAGTGGGAAGCATAGCTTCAGCAATCTTTCATTGATACCCACTGGAAGATCTGGGAGTTGATGCATCAATAAGGTTTTTATTGCCAGACCAACTCCGTGTATTCTGTCCTCTGTCTCAGTCTTACCCTTCCAGAAGAAGGTATAACCACCTCCTGGTTCACTCAAGAAACCTTCCCCGGGCAATCTTGTTTCACTTAATGCCGCTATATCGATGTTGTAGCGGACTAGTTCTCGAGCAATGAGGGCTGTCCTTCTCTCAGGTCTTGCAACAGCTTCTCGATCCATGAGGGTACGAACATTCCATACACCAATGGTAAGTTTTCTCACATTTTTCTTTTGGTTTCGGCCACAGATTGGGTTGAACTGCCAGCCGCGGCTTGCTGGCCAGTTGTTGTAGGGCAGGCAATTTTTAGGCCACCTTTTCTAGGCCCCCCTCCCTTACTAGGGTGAGCAGTGCTGTCCTGAAGAGGACTGCTCAGATGCCTGGGATGCTGCCGGGCAACTCTGCTGCCCCAAGTACAGAGCTGGACGACCACCTATCCACAGGCTGCCTGCATGCAGGAATGGGACTACAACTCCCAGTGATAACCTCCATCTGTCACTTTGCCCCTACCCCATTGCCGCAGGACTTGGGTAGTATGATGATGATGTTTGGTGATTTGCACAGGACCTGTGCGTGAAAGCTTTTTAAGTGGTAGAGCCATTGCATGGGAGCAATCTCACTCTCTCGACCTTAGAAGCCAGACACCAATGGTACGAAAAATCGTCACAACTGGTAACTTCTTTGGTTGCAGTGGATGGCCTTGATGTCTTTCATGCCGTGTCAAGTCCTTCGCTTTCCACAAAGCGTTGCAGAACCGCCTTCTTGGCCGTTGGATCTTAGTGATCTCTTTCGCCCAGTCCTCCGGAGCTGACGTCGCATGCGGGGTAGGCATATCCCAAATTCACTGAGGGTTTGAGTCCCATCAGTTACACCCACCTGGTTTGGCCGGCCTGTCGAAGCTGTTGCCCGGGGTGTGGCCGCTGCGCATGCTGCAGCTACTTGGAGCCACCGGTGAGAGCTGAGTGACAGGTGGGGACCAAAGTGGACGGACTACCCCCAAAGGGTACGACAAGTCCCCCCATCAGAGGTACTACCCCTCCCTGGCCACCCCATACACCCTGCAGCAGAAATATTGTCCAAATAAATGTACATCTGACATAGTGTGTTTGCTTGGACGTTAACAGCTGAGCTGATATGCCACCATATCCTCACATGTCATTTCTAACCAAGCCCCTTGACATAGCCTGTTCTTCACATTAATGCCAGTTGCTGTGGCATGATGTCTCTCTCAAGCAGACTGTTTGTTTCAATTCATATTACTTCGTACCGCTTTAGTTTATTGTCTCAGTTTAAATCTCCATTCAAATGAGCATGTTGGGGGGAGAAACACAAATGCTTATTCACCAAGCGGTTTCCTTAGGTTCTTAGAAGTCTAATTATGATATGAAAAAATGATTTCCAACTTTGCAGATGATACTAAGCTGGAAAAGAATAAAAGCAAATGAGGAATAATTAGGTAGTGCAGCCAGATATAAAAGCATTTAAATCATTTTATATTCTTGGAATAATAGATAGCAAAATGCAGGGCTGCACAAATAAATTGAGAATAATTAGCCTTACCTCACAGAATGAAAACCTGGAATCTGTATAAAAAGGAAAAGGGGCTACAGCACACTGGGCAAAGTGAAAGTTAGACTGGGCTACTAAAAAATGTGAGTAAGGGTATCTTACTTTGTAAATGGTCTCTGACTTCAATGCGCCTCCACCTGGAGTAAGATACCACTTTGTGTGAGCATGTGTATTACAAAGGGAAAGGTTAAACATTATATAGTCTAAGAAGGAAAATTATTTGCATCACCGTAGAACCTAGGAACCCTTGTCGTGGACCAGGACTCCACTGTGCTAGGTGCTGTACAAACTCAGAACAAAAAAAAAATCCCTGCCCCAAAAAGCTTACAATCTACGGCTGTCTACTCTACAGTTTATGTCGGCAGGGCCGGCTTTAGGCTGATTCCACCGATTCCCCTGAATTGGGCCCCGCCCCAAGAGGGCCCCGCGCAGATCGGGCAGTGTCCCTGCCTGAAGCAAAGCTCCGTGGCTCTCCCGGAAGCAGCAGCTCTTGCTGCTAGGCAAAGAGAGACGCTGGCCGGCAGGGGGCTGAGGCAGAGGCAGCAGCGGCTGTTGCAGGTCAGGAGGGGGGAGGGGAGGAGAAGGCACATGTGCTTTGCAGCCTTCCCTCCCTTCTCCCCAGAACTCACCTGGAGGAGACACCTAGGGGGCTTCCGGTCCGGTGGGAGACAGGAATCTCTGCAGTGGACCTCACTCACCTTAGCAGCTGCTCGGGCTTCGGTCGGTGAGTGTTTGACCCCGTGATTCCCCATAGGTTTGTAATATTGGGTTGGTTTTGTGGTTTTCGGTGGTGTTGCTGTTTGAGGGTGAGTCTGTGCCTGCCTGTGTCTGTTTCAAAACTAAACTCGGGATCATGTAACCCAGGAAGAAAGCCCCGAGCCAGTACTTAGTGCTGTGAATTCCAGGTGAGAGAGAGAGAGGGAGGTTTGGAGGAGGAAATCAAATACATCAGGAGGGGAGAATGCGAAAGGTCTGCAACACGGCAGGCTGAGACTTTTATCTCTCCCTTCTCCCCCGAGAGAGGGGAAACTGAGGCACGGAGTGATCTGATTCCCCTCCCCAAATTATTTTGCAAAGGAGGGGGACGGGGGGCTCCTATGCAAACCAGTTCCCTTTCCATCAACTCTGCTTCCCCTGCTGCAAGACCACTGTAGGGGCTCTTGGTGCAGAGTGGTCGCAAAACAGGGGTGAATTTAGCGGGGGGGGGGTCCGGTTGAAATCCCACCCGATGCAGCCACACAGAACCTCTGGCGGCGCTAGGAGAGGCCAGGAGTGGAAGCAGGTGGCCCGGGGGTGAGGGGACATTTGCCCTCAGTCCTGGGCTCTGGGATGGACTAGACTGGATGGGTGGTGGGTTCAGTCTAGTCTTCCAGCCCGTTGCTCTCGCTGGGGTTTGTGGTTTTCATCTGGCTCCACCGAAAAGATCAAACAAGCCCAGTAGAAAAGGGGGGTGAGAGAGGCGGAAAGGGGTTTGTAAGGGGTTAAAGTGACCCATCAATGAAAGAGTAAAACCAGAGTTTGACTGGGTTTCCCCCCAGCCACCACTCCTGCAAACACTGGGCAAGGGGCAGCCCCATCCCCCACCGAGGCTATGGTGAGGGGCAGCAGGGGAGGAAGGAAGCCACATGTGATGGCAGTCCCCTCCCCCCCAGCACCCACCACCCCCTCTCCGGCCCCCAAACTCTGTCCCAGAGCCTGCACCCACCCCTTCGCACTCCCTCCCAGAGCCTGCACCCCTCCACCCATCCTGCACCCCACACCGTGCCCCAGCCCGGAGCCTGCACCCAAACTCTGTCCCACTCAGCCTTGGGCAAAGCTCTCCTTGGCTGGCTCCCAGCCCCTCTCCAAGGGTTGCAGCTGTCTGGAAGTGCCTGCCTTCCACACCTTCCTCATTCACACCTCATTCATTCAACAGGTCAATTGATTACAAAGTGGGGGGAAGATCTTATTCTACTTCTAGCAAAAAGACATTTTTCTTTTACCTTAATTATACTACCTTAGGGGCCAGCTATAACATTACCAAGGTTCAATACAAAGTCATATAAAAGTTATACAAAAATGCATAATGCAGAGATTTATCTTCAACTGCACTGATTGACTGCTGTGTGCAGTAACATAGTGACCCCTGGGTCTTTGAATGAGGCTTTATACTTGGGGGGGGGGGCGAGCGGCGAGTGGGTGGGCAAGCGGCGGGTGGGCAAAGAGGCAAGCAGTGAGCCAGCAGAGGTTCTAGGGGCAGGCATGGGGGTTTCTGGCAGGGGAGGGAGAAGGTGAAAGGAGGTAAGTGGTGGGTGGGGGACTGACTAGGAGGGACACAGCAAGCCAGCAGGGGGCTAGGGGGTGAAGAGGGGTGTGATGGTGGGGCTGAGCGGGGAGGGGTCGGGTCCTATTTTACTGCTGTGATCTGGTCACCCTATGTCACCCCCCCCCAAAACCTTCCTTTTCTTCCTTTTCGGCCCACAGCTGTTTCAGCGAGGTGGCGCTGGGGAAGCAGGGTTTGTTTCCGTGGCCCGGGAGGCGCTGGGGGGGGGAGGAGGGCACAATTTTATATTAATAAGGAAATATTTTATAAATTTTAATAAAATAAACATTATTGAAGAAAATCAGTTGTACAACTATCAAAACATGAATTATTTTCCTAATATGAAAGTGAAAATCAGCTAATTAATATATGACGCAATGTATGTAATATATAATTTTGTTATTATTTATATAGTCATGGAAAGTAAATAATACATGGAAGAAATGAAAGGGTTCTTTTTAAGTGGCTTTTTTTTTTAGTCATCCCTGCTGGGGCCCCGTCGAAACTGTTCGAATTGGGCCCCGCACTTCCTAAAGCCGGCCCTGTATGTCGGCATAATTTGTGTTGCTCGGCAGTGTGAATAAACCACCTTGCTGAGTAATATAAGTTATGTCGACATAAGCACTTGTGTGCACAGCATTATGTTGGCAGGAGAACTTCTCACACAGACATAGCTTCTAGCGCTCACAGAGGATACAGCATCTTCATCAGATGTGCTGCAGCACTGTACATGTAAACTTGGCCTAAGTATAGGACAACAGTCAATAGATGGATAGAGACAGACAGAGCAGTACAACAAAATAATGGCTTGACTTGGCTTCTATTACCTAGAAGTTTAGAATGCACATTTTTTTCCCCCTATGATTTTTCTCCCCATTAACTAGAGTTTAATGCATCTCACTATACCATCTCCATTCTTAAGTTAATGCAAGTGAATTGAAAGTTGAGGGGGAATGCTCTCCCCTTTCTGCAAATGTCAGTGCATTAACTAACACCAATATTAATTGGCGGTACCTGTGCATTTTTCAAACGCAAACCCGACTTACAGAAATCCAGACTTACGGAAAAAGTCCCGTAAGCTTTTTTTTTTGGCGCGTAACTGTCGGAGATACGTTCCCGACTTACGCAAAATTCGACTTGCGCAAGGCATTCCGGAACGGAACGTTTGCGTAAGTCGGGGAACTTCTGTATAAGCCTTTACACATTTACAGGAGAGGTGGAAGAGATTCTGAATTTCAAACTTTTCAGCTGCCTTCCTTCTCAGAGGGCTGTGGTTTTGGGTATGAAGTATTCCTTTAAATTTGGAGTTGTCTCTGCTTAAAGGGAAGGTGGAGGAAAACAGGTGAGCACATAGAACATTAATGACAGAATTAAAGCCATTGTGTGGGACCCTCAATGTTGCCAAACACAGAATGTTGTTTTTTAAACAAATAAACAAACAAAACCACTCTCTCTAAAAGAATGAGCTTTTAAAAAAAATCGTCCAGTTTTACTACCAAATCTATAATCGTTCCTACTTTTACAATTGGATCAGCATGGGCAGACCTGTGTGCCTTCACAGAGCCCTATCGCGCTCCCTGTTGGGTACAAAGATTGATTTGTACAAACCTGAGTCTTTACTTTGTGAAAACATCACAGTTGCAGCTGAAGCTCTTATTAATACTAGGGTTGTCAAAGGATTAAAAAAATAATTGCAATTAAACACGAGATTAAAAAAACAGTTGTGATTAATTGCAGTTTTAATCACACTGTTAAACAATGATAGAATACCAATTAAAATTTATTATAAATATTTTTCTATATTTTCAAATATATTTATTTTAATTACAACACAATACAAAGTACAGTGCTCACTTTATATTATATTTTATTACAAATATTTGCACTGTAAAAAAGATTTTTTAAAAAGTGCAATGTACAAGTCAAAGGATGGAGGGGCATACGAATGTTGAGCACATCTGGCACATAAATACCTTGCAACGCTGCCTACAACAGTGCCATGGCAAATGCCTGTTCTCACTTTCAGGAGACACTTAAATAAGAAGCGGGCAGCATTA